TCTTTTGCTACTATCTGTGCCCAGAGAAGGGAGCGCATAACCGTGCTTGGCAAACTGTCAAGAGTGACGCAGAAGCGAGGAATCATCTTCACAGAGAAGAGATAAACTACATTGTCCAGGTTTCTTGAATGACCAACATTTTAGAAATCTACAATAACCATAGGACCCAACGATTCCACTTCTGGGTATGTACCCAAAAGGACTGAAAGCAGAGTCCTGGACAGATGTTGCACACCCATGATCACAGCAGCACTATTCATAGCAGCAGAAGGGTGGAAGCAACCCGAGTGTCCACTGGTAGATGAAAAGGATAATTAAAATTCGGTCTAGACATATAGAGGAGTATTATTCAGCCTTGAAAAGGGAAGACATTCTGACAGGCTACAGCGTGGATGAAACTTATCTCACATGACATTAGGTGAAAGAAGCCAATCACAAAAGGACGAACACTGTGTGATGCCGCTTACGTGTGCTGCTTAGAGTAATTAAATTCTTAGAAACGGAAAGTAGAATGGTGGTTGCCAGTGGCTGGGTGGAGGGGAATGGGGAATTAGTGTTTCACGGGGACAGAGTTACAGTTTTGCAAGATGGAAAGAGTTCTGGAGGTTGCCAAGGGGAAGGGGGTAGGGGAGGGATGGACTGGGAGTTTGGGGTTAGTAGATATAAACTATTACATATAGGATGGATAAACACCAAGGTCCTGCTGTAGAGCACAGGGAACTCTATTCAATATCCCGGGATGAACCATAATGGAAAAGAATATAATAAAGGAGTGTATAAACTTGTGTAACTGAGTCTCCTTGCTGTGCAGCAGAAATTAATGCAATTTTGTAGATCAACTATACCTCAATAAAAAAATTAATTTAAAAATTAATTAAAAAAAAGAAAGAGTGCTGAGATGGATGGAAATAATGGTTGCACTATATTATGAAGGTACTTAATGCCACTGAAGTGTGGACACTTAAAAATGGTTAAGATGGTAAATTTTATGTTGTATGTGTTTCACCACACACACAAAAATAAAAATTGGAAGAACTTCATAATACAGTTGGTAGAGCAGGTGTGTCATTGGACCAATACTGATTGGGAAACATCACATCAGGGTTCCCCTCTGTCACTGTCCTCTCTACACAAGGCTGGAGCGAATTTCCCCATTTCACAGATAAGGAAACTGAGGCTGAAGGGAGGTGAAGCATCTTGCTCTGGGTCAAACAGCCAAGAAAGGGCAAACCCGGCTCTCGAGTCTGGTTGAATCTGTGGCCTTGACCTTGGGGAGGAGGGACATCAAAAGGCTGCTGCAGGAAGACAAAACCACAGAGGGGATAGCTGCTTCGGTGGCGGGAGCAGGACCAAGAGCTGACATTTCAGTGACAGAGAAAAGTACATTAGTCTCCCTGCCCGGAGCCCCGCCCAGCCCAGCCCCGAATGATCAGCCAGCCCCTGGGGCTGCCACTCAAACTTCACAGCCCCCAGAGCCCATCAAACAGCCAGGGCCACGGCTGCCACAGATGCTGCATCTTTGCAGCTCTACTGCCCTGTCACTCGTCTCTCCCTGTTCTCACGAGGGTGCGAAACGACCAGACAGAGGATCAGATGTCATCACCCTCAGCTGCCCACACCTCACAACCCTGGACAAACGATTCCCCTCTTTCTCTGTCCTTCAGTTTCCCCAGCTGTAAACTGAGGGGCTGGGTGAGCCAAACCTGGGACCCCTGGAGACAACCTATTCACCTCCCACTTTCCCAGAGCACCCCCATGTGCCCAGTGTCCTGTGAGACAAGAGACCAGCAGGCGGAGCTCTGGCCCGGGAACGGGAGAGGCAGAGACCTCGGCCCGTGAACGGCACAGTAAGAGCACGGGCTTCTTTCCCGCTCCGACAGACCTGGGTGGGATGTCCAGTCCCAGCCTCTGGCCTCAGTTTCCCCATGTGAACGATGAAGATAACGGTACCTCTGCTTATGCTATTGTTGAGGAGTTAAATGAGATATTGGCCGGGAAGCCCTTAGCACAGGGCCTGGCTCACAGGAAGCACCGTTAAACCAGCCTCATCAGGCGTGGGCAGAACGGGAAGCTCTCAGGGCTGGAAGAGGCAAGGCCCAGGGTCTGGTGCCACCTTCCTGTCACTGCAGGGGGACCTCAGGCAAGTGACTTCCGAACGCTGACTCTCTTCTTCTTAAACAAATATAACAAGGAGTAGAACCAGAGGCCATGTCCCATGAGACCAAGCGCTCCTTGAAGACCGAGGTCTGTGTTCTGGGTGCCGATACAGCCAGTGAAGTGATGGGTTCGGGTCCCCCCATCCTTTGATGGCCTAGAAGGTGCAGGGAGCTGACAGTCTGAGTCACAGTGGGACAAACGAACCAGACACGGTCGGTGATGGGTGGGGCTGAGTGACTAGCCATTGTCCTGGGCCTGAGCTACTCATAGCCCCGCCTCCTGGCTCAGTCTTGGACCCAGGGAGCTGCCCTAGTCCTATCCATCCCAGGTCCCTCTCTGTTCCTCTGCAAAAAGGTGGGCTGAACCCACCGGGTGGCCTGGCTTCCAGCTCTAGTAGGGCTGCAGGCTCAGTCGAGACCACCCCGCTGAGCCCCCACCAGCAGTGACCCCAGAGGAGAAAGTGTGCCTGGAGGTCTGACCACGTTTCCTCCCACCCCCGGGGACATGTGCAGGTGGGAGCTGGTGGCTCAGGGGGTTCCCAGACCCCGGAGTCTAAGGGTCACTTCCACATGTCCATCCATGCCTATGACCTGCATTCTTGCAGAGAGTGTGGCCTCTGCTTTCTGAGCAGTAAGCGCCGCTGTGAACGGCACTGGTGTCTGAGTTACAGCCGGGAGAGATGCGGAGGGGGCCCGGAAGTCAGGGGGGTCTCCCTGTCTGCATGACCTGGAGGCACCACTCATCTGTAATAAGGTGATACCAGAACCCACATCCAGGGCTCTTGCAAAAAGTAAATGCGCGCACTTAATTAAATTAAAGTAAAGTAAAGGCGGCCTGCTTAGAACAGTGCCTGGCACATAGTAAGGGCTCAAAATCAGTCATTCTTACTGTTTTATTAATTTTACAGATGGAGGGTAAGGGAGGCTCAGAAGAGTTGAGTAACTTGTTCAAGGGCACACACCTTGAAAGGGTCAGCTAGAATTAAATCCAGTTGGCCTGACTCAAAAAAGAGGGAAAAAAAGATGCTTTTGTTCAAGATGCCATGACATCTCAGCTGTGGCCTGACTGTGGCAAGTTTCACCGTCTGGGTGGCTCAGTTTCTTCACTCATAAAATGGGGAGATGCCAGCCCTGATCTGAGTTCATCCACTGCAGATGCACCAAGAGGCTGGGACAGCAGTGATGCTATAAACCCAGGGCTGATGAGTCACAGAGCTGCTCCTGGGGCGTGAGAGGGCATCTCCAGGCTCAGCTGCTTTTAATCACAAACCCCTGGGGTGGAAATGACCTGTCCCAGCCCAAACTGTCCCTGCAGACTGCCCCAGACGCCCACTGACAGCGAGGGAGGCGAGAGGGCCCCAGGCTGGAAGGACCTCCCTCGGGCAGGTGGCATCCCTGCCAGCTCACGGAGTCGCCTTCAAGCCAAGCCAGCACCGCTCTTAAGTAAATGGCACGTGATGGCTGCTAACCCTTGCTCAGGCTGCCTGCTCTTGGCCCTGACACAGATGCTGCTAGGAGGCTGTAAAAGCAGGTTTCATGGTCAAATCACACAGGGCACTGTGCTAGCCGTGCAACTGAGGGCCAGGCATGCCTGTTGCCCCAGCTTTAAGAATGGAGACAGCAATCCCGACTGCATAGCGCTGCTGGGGTTCAGTGGGGTGTCCCCTGCAGAGTTCAGGTGCCACACGTCTGGATGTCCAGGGCCTGGTGCACAGTGGTGGTGTAATAAGTGTGCTCTGAACAAGTCAATGTTACACAGTAGGATGTGTTGGCCTCAGAGAATAAACGGCCGGACAGAAACCAACACCTTGGACACACCCCGTGGGTTCCACGGGTGCGGGTCAGGGGGGTCTCCAGGTATAGCCAGGATGACGCATAAGTGCACTAAGGCCCACACACCTTGAGTGTGATCTTGGCACATTCACCTCCCTGATTTCACACCAGCCGACGTTTCCAACCCCTCTCCCTCTTTCCCCTTCCTTCCAAAGACAACGCCAAGATTCCCAGCCTCTGGTGGATGGTGGGCGGATCGTTGAAATACGAGATTCAGGAGGATGAGTGAGCTATTTGGCGGGAAAGGGGGTGAAAGGTATGATGGAGACGCAGGGCTCAGAATGGGCCGGAAGCCCGGGCAACTGTGTGATGTGCAGGCAGAGGTCCAGGTGAGCGTGACAGCCTGCATCTGGTCTCTCTTCGGTCCTGTCTTCTCCGGGAAGCCCACAAGACCCGGATGTGCTCAGGCTTCCGGCTCCACCCCCAGCACCTGGCACAGCATGGGGCCCATGCAGCTTTGGGATAATGAGTCCAGGATTTACAGTTCCTGAGGTTCTGACCCGCCCCTGGGCCATGAGAGGCCAACCCACTCTCCCCATAACTTGTTCTTGGACAGACCTTCAGATGCACCTGCCACCTAGCTCTCACGTCAACCTGGAGCAGAGATGGAGCCAGAAAACCACAGAGAAGGCTGGTTTCACTTTCCCAGGCAGAGCCAAGAACATCAAGCCTCTGCTTCCTCCGTTCCCTCCCATCGCAGGGTCCCAAGCCCACACAGTGTCTTGCCATTTCCTCCACACATGCCCCACAGCTCTGCCCAGCTCTGCAGGGTTGAACGGGGCTGGGTATCTGTCCTGCTTTCACAGAGGGTAACTGGCTCCTACGCCCTTGGCCAGAACTCAAACGCGCTTCTCTCCGGGGAGAGAAGCTGAGTGTGGAGAATCAGCTGAGGCCACTTCCTTCACTCCCCTTACCCCTAACATCTGATCACTGATCTAACCAATGGAAGAAAGAGGAAAAGAGAGAAGACAGAGTAGGAAAGGGGGAAGGGAAGGCACGTCTTCTACTTGCCTGAACATCAAACTCTTGCAGGAGGCCAGTGATGGTCTGTGGAAAGACAAGAGAGATGGTCAGTTTCCCGGGGCAGAGAAATAATGTCAGAACACATGGACCACTCCATGCCCTCAGTCTGTTAGATCTACCCTATGTCCTCTGTGGGGCCTCTCTAATGCCTTACAGAGAGAGACTTTTCATCTCAAAGAATAGCAGTCCAGCAGAAAAGTAGACACAGTAGATGGATTCCTTTTTGACTGCAGCCTTAGTGAAAAAAGATCTGAAGGTCTAAGCTGACCACAAGCTTGAGAGATACAGGACTGTAATTGCCTATTAACTGATCTCTCTGTCTCCACTTATGTGCTACACTTTTAAAGCTCAAACCTGACCATGTTACTGCCTTTAAATTTCTTCCACGACAGCCTATCATCTAGATTAAAATCCAATCTCTCGTGGGTGGAAGAGGAGACAGAGCATTTCCCTCAATCCAACAATTCTGAGCGTCCAGCCCAAATTCCATCTTTCACCACAGCTGACACTGGCAGGCCAAGCCCAGGAAGACAGGAAAGGGGCCCTTGTCCCCTGGGTAGCAGTGAAAGTACAGCTCAGAGTTGAAGCTGGAGCCACCCTGGGCCAAAGTTTCCAAGAGATGTTACTGGCATGCTTTCCTCTCAGCTCAGAGATGGAGTTCAAACACCCCCTGAAAGCGGAGGCCCAGCTAGACCCACCACTACCCACCATGAAAGAAAACAGCTCAGCAGAGCAAAAGGCAAAAGAGGTGACGGAAGGGGAAGGAGGACCCCTTGGGACAGCCAGGGGTTGGAAGATAAGATTGTAACAGCCGCCTGCTGAGAGAGATTAAAATAGCTTCACACTCCCTGGGGCTGGGCTGGGGTTAAGAACATTAGGGAGTTTGATAAATTCAGGTGGAAGCAAATGTGGCCAAAAATACTTCGTGTGTGTGTGTGTGTGTGTGTGTGTGTGTGTGTGTGTGTGTGTGTGTGTGTGTGTGTGTGTGTGTGTGTTGCTAGGAGGGAGTAGAAAAGCTACTCTGAACAACCCTAACCTTCAATATGTTAACAAGAGTGCAGAGGTCATCGAGATTGAGGACAGACATCAGGAAGAACTTCCCAATAGCAAACCTAATTAAAAACGCTTTGCTGAGTCAATCTAAGGAACTGGAAGCTTTACTTCGATCTAAACCTTGAAAGAAAGGGTCAATATCTACTTAGAGACAGACTGACATGTAACCTGGAGTTGATCATCTTTTAGATGTTTGTTTGAGAAGTAAAATTTTCCAAGGGTAGCACTGTGCTGCCTAAAATATATAAATGCTGCGTTTAAGAATGCATTTACCGTTGCATTCAGTGATGCCACTTGGGGAGTTTACCTTAGAGCTGCACCTGCACGTGTATGAAATGATGTGCATGTAAGATCCAACGAGTGTATGAACATCCTGCAGCACTGCTGGTAATGGTAATGTGGACCCAAGTGTCCACATACAGGGCACTGGTCAAATAAATGTGGTGGAACACTGTGACACTGGAAAGAGAGAAGCAAGTGCTCTATGGACTGATGTTGGAAAGGTCTCCAACCTAAGTGGTTAAATAAATAAAGCAAAGCACGGTATACTATTTCATATGGTTTTTCAAAAGGGATAAGAACATGTTGATATGTATTTGTATCACCTAGGGGTTTTTTTTTTTTTTTTGTATGTTTGTTTGCTGTTCAATACTGTGTCAAAGATTCAGACAGAAGAGGAAATGGATTTGGAGCATGAATAGTGAATAGTATTATAGTTGGCAAACTATGGCCCTCCCCATTCCTCCACCATTTTTTTTGTAAATAAAGTTTTATTGGAACACAGCAAGCCCATTTGCTTACATATTGTCTAGGGCTGCTTTCATGCCGTAACTATAAAACTGAGTAGTTACAACAGAGACCATGTGGTCCTCAAAGCTTAAGATATTACCATCTGGCCATTTATAGCAGATGTTTGCAGACCCCTAGCACGGGAATGATCTCAAGCATTCTGCTTCACCTGGCCTGGCTTCCACTACTAGCTGTGTCACCTATCCAAATGAACTTGGGCAATTCCCTTCCCAACAAGACCAGTTTCCTTATCTATATAATGGGAAATAGAAAGTTGCCTCCCACTTTCATAATGAAAAGTCCATGAAATAATGGACCTAAAACAGAGCAGCCACTAGCAGAGTCATAAGCCCATTCCAGTGGCAGCTGGCCTGAGCCTGGCTCCAAGCCCCACATTTTGTAACCATGTGACCAACCCAAGAGGACAAATTAACCTCCTGGAGACTCAGCTTCCTCTTCTGTAAAATGGGCACAATCAATGAACCTAGTTTCTAATCGGCCACAGCCTTATCCTTCCGTTTAGCATGAGAAAATCCATGAAGTATGACTGGCCCAGAGACAGGCACACAGGCCGTGGCTCATGCATGCTAATTTTTACTTTCAAAAGCATTTCGTTGACCTTAGAGTAACTGCGCTTTTGAACCTGAGCTTTACATTTTAAAAAAAGGTGTCTCATCACCGGCCGTTATGAGGCTCCGTGAGAACTGGGACACGAACATAGTTTAAAAATACAGTGTCAACTATGTAAATGAAAAGGCTTTTCACATCCATCCACAGCCGGTCCAGGATGGATCATGCCAGGCTGGGCTGTAGGGCAGGGGCTTCCGTTTCCAACAGGAAGGGCTTGTCGACCTGAAAGGTTTGGCCAAAAAGATGGTAATAATTGTAGCAACAAGAGCTCATGAGCAAAGCTCTTCAGGGCAGACAGGGTTCTAACGGCTCCACATGAATTAACCCACTCTATCCTCACCCTGGCCCCATGACATAAGTCCTAGTGTCACTGTTTTTTAAAGTTGGGGGCCTGGAGCACAAAGAGCTTGAAGGATTTGCCGGTGGTCACAAAGCTGCAGGGTGTCACAGGCAGGATCTGAACATAGAGAGTCTGGTCCCAGTGTACGTGGCCTTAACCTCTAAGCTATGGGGCAGACAGAGTCGATGGACAAACAGGCTTCATGCTGCAGGTTTCAGAACCACAGGATGCCAGAGGTGGAGGTGCTTAGAGGAACTCTGGTTCAATGTCCTTACTTCACAAAAGAGATCAGTGAGGAGAGGGCAGAAAAGCCAGCGATGGGTGAGAGGCCTGGCCACAGTGCCTTAGCACTCGGGAGCCAAGCTGGGACTTGGACTGGTACCTCTTGTCCCTTTGTATTCCTGGACAAGGTGACCTGTGGAAACCAGGAAGCAGTGGGCATGTGCGTGTGTGTGCATGTATACACACGTGGCAGTGTACATGCATGCGTGTTCCTATTGTGCACACACGTATGCCCATGTACGAGTGGGCACGGGATGGGGTCAGCCAGGGGCATCTCCACTCACCTCCCCTTTCTCCACCAAAGGTTTCACCTCAGCGAGGTCCACGTCCTGCATCTCCCGAGACATGTCCCTGCTGTCACCTGCCTACAAAGGGACAGAGACCAGGAGGTTAGCGCTTCCTGCTGAGACATGTTTTCAGAAAGGAGCAAATCTGAGGCCAGGGAGCAAGCCTTCACTTGCACAGCCCAGCAGCTCCTACCTCCTACCCAGCGCCCCATCCCATCCCACTCTTGCCCCTGGGGACCCAGGGGAGTAGATTTCCTAGGATGGGAAACTGAGGCTTACGGACGCATCTACACTCAAAACCAGGCCCTCACACCCAGTCCAGGACCACCCACCACACCGAGGACGTTTCTCCCTGCATTTTAGAAGGAGACCCACATCGCCGAGCCCAAAGTCAGGCAGCCCCAGCTTGACGACCGAAAGGGGACAGAAGGCCGCGGTGGCCGCCACAGGCAGGGGGGGCACTAGCTTCCTCCTCCTCCTTCCTCAGACTAGAGGGGCCCCAAAAGACGGGCGGCCACGCAGATGCCCCTGTGTCCAGCTCTGTGCAGGGCTGCATGTGGGGGGAAGAGGGGCAGGGAACACCTCAAGCCAAGGGGTCTGCCACTGACCACTCAGGAGGATTTTGAAAGAAAAAGGACTTTCGAGGCAAAAAGCACTGCATGAGCCGGAGCAGGGGTGGGAGAGCAGGGGGTGGGGAGGCCCAGGATGGGGTCAGAGATCGGGGTGGGGCAGAAGAGGTCCTCCTTGGCTCTGACACCCAGGCAAGTGCAGAACCAAAAGAGCTAAGCTGAGCAGAGTTCGGGCAGTGGAAATGCCACCATAATCGACTCCCTGGGGAGCGAGGCTTGGGTGGTGACAGTTACTGAGCACACACCTGGGTGCCTAATCAAGGACCTGGTGGCATAAACGTTTCTTGTTACGGATGGATAGTCAAACTGGGAGAACGAAGCGCCCACCAGTACTGGGTGAGGCACAAAGAGCCCAGAAGGAGGGTTCCGTGCTGCAGGCAGAGGCTGACGAGAAGAAGTAAGTGACAGGAGGAGGCCAGGGACCCTCAGGTCACAGACCCAGAGCTTCCGCATCGGGTACTTGGTGAAAAGCCGCCTGACCTCGGCCCTCACGCTGCTCCTTTCCAGGATGGGGACCTCGCCCCAAGCTCCCCGCAGACGTTAACAGCCAGAGAGAGAATGCAAGTCTCTGAACTTTCAGCCCGGGGCTCCTCTGAAGATCCAGCTCCCCGAACCCAGAAGAGCCCTCTTTGTGACACATCTCTCAGAGGTCAGCGGGCAACAGAGCAGGGGCCACCCGGCCCCCAGCCCTGCGCCGCCGTACATGGCATTCCGTGGGCAGATTCCCTGGGACGCTCGGGTCTGGGGCCCCGGCACGGTTTTCCCCAGTAGATAACCAGCGCCACAAGAATGCCTTTATGCAGCCTTTGGAGTCCAGGCTCCAGAACATTCTGAAAACAAAGTCGGTTTTATATTTGTGAACATTGCTGGGCAGCTGCCAGCTTGGAAGCAGGAGGCATGAAAAGCCAAGGTCTGTCGGCCTTGCTAACTCAGCGTGTTCGTGGTCCCGAGACCCCGGCCGTGGGACACCTCGCCTACATAGCCCAGGGAGACTTCCAGAAGCCTGGGGCTCTGGCAACGCCACCCTTCATGCTCAGAGGGAAAGGAGTTTACATTTCACAGGGGCTCCTTCAGAAGCCAGGGATGAAGTCGGGGTCTCCCGCTACCCCCTGGGCGGGCCCAGGCAGGCCTCCTTCAGCCCCCTGTGCGAGTTCCTTAGGACAGGTAGCCTACCCGGCTCCTTCCCTTCCCTACCTGTAGCTCCTAGCATCACAGCCAGGTGCAAAGTCGGGCCTCAACTCGCTTGTTGAATAGATAGATGAACGGCTTTTGTGCAGCTTCAGAGCAATGTTTGTACGTAAATTCACTCTTACATGATCACCAGACCACAAGAGTGAAACACTGTGAAAACAGGTCTACATTTATAAGGGCTCATCCCAGACTGCAGTTCAGCCCGGTGTGCTCACGTCTCCTTGGCTGCCAGATGCCATGATCCCACTAGACTGTTGGCCTCTACCTGCCCCCTCATCCTCTTTCAGAACAAGAAATAGTTCAAGTCCAACCTTCCTGGCTTCCCAAACATGCTCCCAGAGAAATCTCTTTACTCCACACCTTATTTTCCTTCCGACAACCCAGCTTCCCAGACCCCAAGAGACAGCAGGTTGAAAACTGGCACGAATCCCTTAAACATCAGCATTTGAGAATCGCTGCTTTGGGAGGGCTGGGTGAGGGCGCCTCCCGGAGCCCCACCCTCCATGTGCTCAGGGCCTTGGGGAGGCTCAGGGCGGAGCCCACGGAGAGCTATCCCGGTGTTTGTCTAAACGAGGGTGATTCTTCCCCCCCACCACCACCATTTGGCGCTGTCTGGAGACATTCTTGATCACCGTGACTGGGCGATGCTACTGGCATCTAGTGGGTGGAGGCCAGGGCAGCTGCTAATCATCCCACAGCGCACAAGATGCTCCCGCAGCAGAATTATCTGGTCCCAGTAGGGAAGAGGCTGAGACACCCTGGTCTAGACCAAGAAGCAGCTAGTGAGGTCCCCAGGACTCTGAAGTCTGCAGGGAGACCAGATAAAGCAGAGGGACGCTCCAGTTCTCCTTGACCAGGGCAGGGGGGTGCCTGCAGGCCCAGGGCAGCCTGTAGCTGATAACCGTAACTGCAAATGTCCCAACAGGAAGAGTTGGCCGGGACCTCCATCTAGGTCACTGCCCGCAATAACCAAGGCTGCCCAAATGGGCTGCAGAAGGTGCACCTTGAACCTTCCCCCTCCCCATGCCCCCCACCGCCCTCCCTGCACTACTGGAGGAGCAAGACGACAGTCTGCTTGCCACCAGCTCTGCCGACTTAGGCCACTTGAGGCCAGCCCTCGTCCTGTCTCTGTCGCCTCAATCCAAAAACTTCGCAGACTTTTGGTTCAGAAGCTGTTTGCCTAAAGGAAACCTTATAAGGAAGATCAGTACGTAAAAACTGATTGTCTTTAAGAAGAAAGCTGACGTGCTTTGGGTGAAGCCAGGGACATCTCCCAGCAGCCCCTCGTGCCCCCCCTTCCTATCATCTGCCACCGCCCCCCTGGCAAGACGAGCCCTCAAACACCATCTGAGTTCCAACAAGTGTGGACTGCACGGCGATTTACTCGGAGGTGGCTTTCCCGTACAGTAGGTTCTCATGCGACAGGCACTGAGCAAAGAGAGAAAGGACCCCTGATAGCTCCGTTGACAACTCTACTATGTGACAAGTCAGGGACCGATGGGAGGTGACCTGATTTGGGTGCTCTGGCTGGTGCCCCCACCCCCACCAGGTGCCACTCGGAGGGTCACACCAGGGTCACTCCCCGCAGCCGACCTGAGGCCCAACTTGGCTCAGCAAGCTCTCTCCCTGCACTTGAGACCGAGCGTTGGATGCCCGTCCCTGCCCTTCTCCACGGCCTCCTGAAAAGTCCCAGCGCAGTGTCAGACTGAAAAGGGCTGAGGCAATCATGCAATGGACAGGGGGTTACAGGCCCAGGCCGCACAGGGCACAGGGGTGGGAGCCCAGGAGTCCGACTCCCAGCCACCCTGCAGTATGGGGATGGGGCCGTACCTGCCAACTGTGTCTCAGCACAGAAGGAAGCCACTCCAGACAGGAAATGAGGTTGGGACAGGTCTCCTTCTGCTAAAACCCCACTCCATGCCCCAAACAGGGCTCCAGGTCACAACGCCAGCTGCCAGACTGGTTTATACCACATTTTCCTTTCCCACCTACTTGCCCAGAAGGAATTCTGAGAAAACCAACATCGCAGAAGTGAAAGGTAGCCAGGAGCTAGGCGGGGAGACTTGAGGATCAGACCTGGGCATCACCATTGATTGACTCTGTGATCTAACCTCTGAGCCTCAGTCTGCTCATCTATAAAATGGGCATAACAACTCCTGTTCCCAGCGAGTAGCAGCGGGGCTTAAATGAAACTATGGCACACAGAATCTGGCAAATAGCTGCTTAATTAATCAGTGCACTTTTCTGGTTGCCTCAGAGACCGCGGACATCCGTGGGGACACAAGTCTATGTTTTATACATTCTTAGTCCCCGAGTGGCCCAGCAAGCAGGGGACACAGAGAAGAGCTTCGGCAGGTGCCACATGGGTTTCCAGCAATCAGACCCAATGCACCATCACACAGGTCAATGAGTAACAAAGGCCCAAGGGGGGCGGGCAAAGACCTTTCCAGTTCAACAGACCCAGGAGTCAGTCAGCAATTAGCTGGACTTCATGGGTTCCAGGGAAGCCAAGACTGAGATTTGTCCAGAGGAGGGAAGTAGGTGACCTCGGGGACTGGGAAGGCAGCGGGCAGAGGCATTTCAGGCAATGAGGTCACGTGAGAGCTGTTAACCAGTCACCGGTGGGAGAGTGAGGGGACACAGAGCCTGGGATTCTCAAAAACCCTGGTAAAGCAGCAGGAACACTGCTTAGGAGTCAGGGCATGGGAATCCCGCCACATGACTTTCGCCAAGTCATTCATCCCCTCCCTGGGCCTTGGCTTCCCATCTACAAAATACGTGGCGGCGTGTGTTCTACGGACAGCACATGGTCCCCAAAGCTCAGGATGGATGGGAGCCTAGGTGGGAGGGTGCTGCACGCAGACAAAAGAGCCGTGCACCCTGGGGTCCTACCAGGGCCCCATGCAGCTTGTCTCTGCCTGGATCCATCTGCCCTGGGAACCTGGAAGAACGTCTCCTCCCGGCCTTGACCCCTCCCTGTCCGTAAAACAGGAGTCTCCCTCCAGCTCTGGCACTCTTCTAGCAAGCCACACAGGGGGACCTATCTGCAAGTTCTGCTGGGCCCCTAGAACTCCCCCGAGGCAGGGCCGGGGTGTCCAGCAGACAAACATCCAGGATGTGCTCTGGGAGCCCCAAGATGCACCCATCTCAGCAAGAGTGGCCAAAACCCTGCACAAGCACAGCAGGATCACAGCAACAAGAACTTCTATGGCACCTCCTGGGCTCCAAACTCTGTCCCTCCTTTGAGCTTTCCAG